TAGGACGATAGTCCTTAATATCAGTCACTCCCGATTTCTTAGGAATAAGCACAATGAATGTGGCATTAAGACTTCTCATAAACCTGCCACGTTCGAAAAAATATTTTATTGTATCCATAATGTCTGATCGTACCACCTCCCAACAAGCCTTATAGAATGAGAACGAGAACCCGTCCGGTCCAGGGGCCTTATCATCATTCATATTAAACACCACATCCCTAACTTCATCCTCCTCAAATGGTCTCTCAACCCAGCTAGCATCCTCTTCGGTGATAGTGAAGAAGTCCAGCCCCTCCAACTCAGGCCTCCACCCAAACTGCTCCCGGTAGAGATTCTGATAGAATCTTACCTGCTTACCTGCTGAGTCACAATATCTTGTGGATTCCACACTATAAACTCTTGAAAGATCATATATTTATAAAGATGGAGCACAAGAGTTATGAATAACAATTCTCATCCCCCTCCAATGGCACTAAGAGGATCTATTTATAGGGTTACATATACAATAATAACCATTGGATGAGAGGACACGTGGCTCCATCCCCTTAACCAAATCATCACATCCTAGGCATCAATTCTGACTTCACTAGCCGTGAAGCATTAAATGTCCCTCAAGAAGGCGGCTACCCCATACCCTATGCTGTCAAGTGTCAAGAGTGACCTAACTCATTGCAGTAGTCCCATCAATCATTCTAAAAGGATTTTACAAATTTAAGATCTTCAAACATAGGTATTCATTTGAGTTTTGGATTCCTCTTCAGTGGGCCTTGTGTATAGCTCCCGCATAGGGGCTTCGGCAGAAGTGGGCCTCGCCAAGAATAGGCCTTGGCCTTTTGGGCTTCGGCAAGATGGGCTCCGGCCAAGATGGGCTTTGGCCAATTTGGTGTAACAATTACATCAGATTTCTAAAAGACGACATGCTTTTACTGTAAATTGAACTGCACGAGTGACATTCTAATGCTTGTTATGCATGCCTTTTATTTTTAAAATGACTTCCAAATTTGGGCCCCCAGACCCTTGGCGGTTGATAATTGGTGGTTTCTGGCTTCTTTGGTTTGAAGGGTAGCTTGGAGACAGATTTACTTTTTGAGGAAATTTCCCTCATATGACACTTTTGAGTAAGAAAATTAATTGTCTAATATTTATGGGTTTGTGAATAATGTCTTTTTTTTTAATCCTTTTTTTTTCGACAAATAATACCATTATCTAAGACAGTCGAGTGTTACCAAATTCTCTCCCTTTTTTTTTCTCGAATTTCGAATCATTTAGGCATTCTCGTCAAACTTGGTAATCGTCAGCTTTGCCCAGATTGCCTAGAGGACGTTTTAATAAATGGCACTACAGTCTTTTTGCCTGACCGAATGGGCATAGTAAATAAAATTTTGGCGGGAGACTGGCCAAAAATATTGACTAGCTGAATAATTTTCCCTTTACTTTTCCTCATGACTCTCTTTGTTTTGGAGTTGATTTTTAGAGCTAATCTCTATTCAACCAATTATAGTTCATGGTCTGCTTCTTATAAATTGAATTTCAGTAGAAAACGGAATACAGAGTTGCTGAATGTGATACAGGAAAATTATTTGGAGAAAATTTTGTTGGTACTTTGATATATCTAGTCATGCCTTTTTGGCCAGATTGTTTGAATCATTGGAACGTTAAAGATGTAAAGCTGAAGCAGAGAAATAGACAGGATACAGAATAATGACCTTTCCAGAAATTGAAAGCAATAAAGCAACTTAGACTGAATCGTAGAAACCAGGATAGACTTGAAAGCCTTAGCCCTTAAGTTAGCTGTTTAGTGTTCGGTCTTTTCTGGAGTAAAAATTCTCTAACTTTGCCATCGAACTTATATTTTAAGAGGGAAAGGGAAAGCCATTTCTCCATTTTGAAGATGTTAAAAATATAGGCTTAGTAAATAAGAGATGGAAATACCGTTTTCTATTTTAAATATGTTAAACAAACATAGGCCGATTGCCAAAAAGTTCGTAGGTGGTTGTTTTCTCCAACTGATATTTTGATGATAAGGTAGTAATTCCCAAGTAAGTTTGTTTTCCTTTTGTGGGCTGATACTGATTGATTAGAAATAATAGAACTATAAGATGATTTTTTTTTTCTTTTCTTGTGTATATATTTCAAGAGCTGTAATTAAGAAAAACAACCACATCTTTTAAGTCTGTATCCCAAAAAGAACTGTTCATCTGTAATATATCTATGCTAAGAAAAATTCTGCTTTGATGAAATCTGGAATATACCAGAAAAACAATGGGCTGAGGGAAGGAGAAAAATCCGTTCCTTTCATCTTTTGGTTTTGCAACTGTGAGTTATGAGAGCACCAGTAGGTGGACTTGTCATCTCTACTTTGCTCTCCCATGCAACCAGTAAGAAAAATGAAAAATTCCTAGCTTAGCTTTCACTCTAAAAGTCCCTTGTATATCATATGCAACCCTGTTTCTCTGCACCTGCTTTTGAAGTTCAAGAACAGTATTTGGTGGCAGATGAACCAAGCTAGATATCAAGTGGACTGACATCAATCGCGTTTCTCCAGGATTTTGACTGAACGGTTGAAGAGCTTGAACCGCTATTAGATTCTCTGAAAAGAAAAGCTTGATATCCAGGTACTCGTATTTAACATTCAATTTCCTATTTGGGTTTGAAAAATTTGCAAGAAATATTACATCTCCATTTAGAAAATCGGGAGAATTAAAGTATATGACATTGAGGGTTGCTGCGGGGGTGTCAAACACTGGAGTCCTTGGTTTAACATCAAGAAAGATTACTAAAGTCGCTATTCCAAAGAAGATCAGGAAGAGGCTGAATATCATACATAAGATTGCACAAAACCATATAAGTGGATTTGTCCTCCGAGGTTGTCTGAGTATTGGTTGCTCTCTTGGTCGACTCTTGCTGTTGTGCAGCACTTCTGATGTCTCAGTCTGCTGGCTCCGGGCTTGTTTCGATAAGACAATCTGATGGAGAGGAGTTTGTTTGAGTTTCTTTAGGTGAGGTGGCGTGAAAGGTGGGGGCGGTGGAAGGAGAGGCAGTTTAGGAATATCAGAAGACATCCTTGTTACGAAGTTATGAGGAAGGAAATGCACATGATATCTGGCACTTAAATAAAATTTGTAGTGGAGAATGAAAAAGTAGAGAGAAAAAAGAAGCTTTTGATTAAGTTATGGGGCCAATTGGTTCTTTGAAACAGGGAAAAGCAGGTGAATAAAGTAGAAAAAATATAGATGTATGATTTGAATTGAGTTATGTGCCGCTTTTGATTCAAGAAACGCCAAAGAAAATGGCTAAAGCGCTTTCCACTTTCTTGAAGTTGTATTTGTTAAGTTAAGAGTTTGACCTGTCAAATAGTGAACGTTTCGCAAAATGATCAACCAGATTAAAGGCTAGATCACTATTAACTCATTGATCACATCAGAGCTGCTGGCTGCACCTTTTGTATGTTAGGTAGATGCTTACCCATTAAGAAAGTAAGAAAACTTAGTTTATGCTGATTAAGTTGTCAAGCATGTGGGTCTAGGCTATCCATTTGTCTTATAGTTGCCCATTATATTGGTGGTGTTCAAGAACTTTAATAAATCAGATTTGAACTTGACAGATGACAGAAACTTTTTACTTTTGGGTAATCCATGTTTTTAATTACATAATCAAGAATTTGCAGAATAATCCAGTGACCCCTGCTACAGATTCCACCTTACTATACATGTTCTGACCTGTGTTGCTTATCCAGCAATTCTTTTTATCCTTGTTTTTATGTTTTCGTATCAAGAATAAATAAAAGAAATTTTCCGGGGCCCAAAAAAGGAAATGATTCTTGCTTGCTCAGTAATTTCTGGGCCATTTAGGCTAACTTTGTAAAAACAAGATAGTGATAATTGAGGGTCGAAAACTGATGGGGATACACATGAACAAGTGTTGAGACGACCTTATTTATTGTTTTCAGGCAAAAACTGTGCTTATTTGATGCTCCAAAGGATGTGGAAACCAGCAACTTTTATCAATTTTGACGTGGTTTCACGGAGAAGTTGCTCATGAACCACGGAGAAGTTGCTCATGAAACGTCGCGTTGTTTTTTCTTAAATATTCTGAATGTACAGTTTTTCAGGGAAAAAAAGGGGGGAAGAGATGCAAGATGGGCTTTCTGCTCAGAATCAAGTGTCATTGCTTCGCGCAGTTTTCTTGATTACTCGAGCTGGATAGAGTTGCACGTCTGTAGAAATTTTTGGGCCATAATTTTGTAGGGTGTTGGCTGAGCCCAGTAGGCCACTATGTCCACGTCGCATGGATTTAGAGAGCGTCTAGGTTGAGCTAATCTAACTTAAAGTGGTAATTGCACGGTCCATCCAAAAAAGAAAAACGTGTTAAAATTCCAAATATACTATTACTATTTTTATTATTCAACAAATAATTACTTTTTTTAACAAACCACTAACACACACAAACCCTACTAGCCCATCACCGTCGCACCACCACCTGCCACCTTACACCACCACCACCATCACCACCACTTGATTGTTTCGATGTCTCCACGTCAACATCGTTGGCCTCGACAATGTCAAATGCACTAGAATTTTAGAATCATAGATACAGACCTTCCAACAGATTTTATAAGTCGATATTCCATTCATTATGCACTGTTGTCAACGGTCATGTAATTTTAGATCTTTTTAGATCTGGAATGCTTCGTCTTTTGTTGTGGTGAGATTTTGGTCTTGATTTGTTTTTGCAGTAGACGGATTGGGATATTGTTATTGTTGTGGTGTTTGAGGGGTGATGGTAATGTTTAAGGGTCGGCTTGGGAGTTTCAGGGTAGTGGTTATGAGCGTTTTTTAAAGTATCGATTTTAAGCATTTATGAGTTGATCGATTTTGAGTGATTTTAGTAGCGATTTTTAAAATAGTACAATCTTGTGAATTTATTAACCAACAATTTTGATTTTTTTTTTTAAAATAAAATTATATAGGTTACTTAGTGAAATTTTTATTTTATTGTTTCTTGTATAATTTTTTTATTCATAAATGATATTTTACTTATTGGTAATTTTTTTTTCATATAAGTTAATATTTAATTTAAAAACTTAAATAAAGTTAAATATTTAATTAAAACTTTAAAGTTAGTATTTTTAATTATAAGTAAAGTTTACAATTATAAGTTAATTTTGTACTTTTAGATAATTTTAAGTGAATTTTTATTTTATTAGTAGCATTTTTATTTTATAAACATTTTTTAAAAAAATGATTGCTGATTTTGAATATTTTGGTCGTTTATTAGTTACGTCACAATCACATATTGGTTTCTCTCTCAGTTCGTATTTCAAACAAATGAGGCCTTAAGTGAGTGTTTAAATAGATTGAAATATCCTTTGAGATTTTATTGATTTTGGCTTTTGTATTGTTTGGGTGACTTAGGAGCGTTTTGCATCAAAATAAAATGTTAGTGGATATTCACAAAATAGGCGAACATTAGAACATATTGTACCAATTACCCTATTTGAAATATTTCTTAAAGCGTTTTCAAGAGATTTTTTATTTTTAAATAACACATTTTACAATTTAGAGAGTAAAAATTTTTAAGTACTTCAATAAACTCTTTATATTTAATACTTAATTTTACTATTCCAAAAAAACATTTATTGTTTTTTCCCATCTTTTGTTTTTATTAGTTTTGAGTTAGTCTATAGGTACAGAAAAAACTTACAGAAATTTTACAGAATTTTGAAATGGACGGCGCAGATGCAAAGTTTGGAAAAATATATAAAAACACGGACCGACAGGATGCTGCCACAGCAGCATCCTGTCAATTTTCTGGGAAAATTCCCTGTACTCAGGGAATTTTCCATTAGTTTTCTTCTAAATTATTATATTATTTTCTTTCGTTAAAAATTAAAATACTTTGAATGCATTAAATTATGAATAATCAATAATGCTATTTAATTCCACTGAAATTATAATCTCAATTTATGTGGTGTTAGGTAATAATAAGTTAAATGAAATGTAATATTAAATGATTCATTAATGTACTTATCTTTCAATGTCATATTAGTGTCACATAAACTGTGTTATAATTTCAATGGAGCTAAATAGCATTGGGACGTGTTTGGCGGAGATTAAAATCGGATTAAAATTGAAAAAAACTAGCCGTTATTGTTGACATTTATTAAGCAAGTGAGACCCAATAACGACTATATTTTCAATTTTAATTGGATTTTAAGCTTAACCAAACATGCTCTTACTCTTAAATTATTGGGAGTGGTGTTGGCTCTCCAAACTAAATTATGGAGAGTCAAACTTACTTTTTAAATTAAAATGTTAATTTAAAAAGTCTTTTGAAGCAAAATTTTTATGGGTTGACACTTTAAAACATCAATCTTTTGGAGATGCTCTTATGTGTTAGCAAAGTCAGTAATTTTAATTCAAAAGAAGTAATTTGAAATGTGCTTAAATTTAAGCCACAAATGTCATTGAAATCTGGGAAACAGTTGTGAGCATCGGTATATTGCCAAATGCCAAAATGACGATTGCCTGTCGAGTGAGGTTCCCTATTTCACTCTACCATGCACAGTTGTTCGCAAGAATCGGAAAAGGCAGAAGTAATGATTCTGGGAACTGGCATAAGTTGAGTTACTTCAATACTCATCCATATTACAGGGACAGAAATTCCATTATATATCATACTGTTTAATACAAATTTAGGACAATCCACATGAAATAATTTGAAGATCAAGAAAATGAGAATTCTTCAAAAAATCGACAGACTCTTGGGCAGTAATGGAGGTTCTATTGTCGAATCATTGTGTAATATTTTCAAGAATCTATTTTGGAGGATCGCAAACATAATTTTCTCTGCAAAGCCAAGAAAACCAGAACCAATCCTTCCTGTTGAAAATCCCATAGGATCAAGTCGAAATCATATTTCTTTGCAAATCCAAGAGATTTCTTCACATAGTTCAGATTCATCTTTGGACTCGAGCCCAGGTGCTTCAGATTTGGAATTGAAGAGGGATTGCTCAAACACAGAAAATCATGAAGTGTATGGTAACAGTACTGCATGGCTACAAAAACCGCCAGTCTCTTCTCCAATTGAGACACTGGACGTCGAGGACAAAGACTCAAACTATAATAAGCAGCTGGAAGTGATAATTGATGTACCTTCCTTGGCACGTCACTCTCTTGCCCACAGAAACTCATTTGACATTGAGAAAAATCACCCATGCCCGACTGACTCTGGAGAGAGAGTTGAGGAAGAGAAGGTAATAAATTGTTTGGTGGCCGAAGGGAAATGGGTAAAACAATATAATAGTTACCAAAGGATACTTCTTGTGGGTGAAGGAGACTTCTCTTTCTCTGCTAGCTTGGCCGTGGCTTTTGGTTCTGCCCCTTACATGATTGCAACTTCTCTTGATTCTGTTGGTAAGAAAGTTTCGTAAATTCTATACCTCCAATTACTATTCTTGGCAGGTGTTAAGTGTTGGTGAAATTTTCAGATTTTCTGAAGAAAAATTATAAGCGTGCAATGTCCAACATCGAGAAGCTAAGGATTAGGGAGTGCATGGTCATGCATGAGATTGATGCTACAAAAGTTGCAAGTCATCACCTGTTGGGAGGAATGACATTTGATCGGATTATTTTCAACTTTCCATTTGCTGGATTTTTCGACAACTTATCCCGTGAGGCTACACTGAGGTCAGCTATTTTTTTTTTTCAGCTTCTTGTAATTCAATCGACGTATCTTTCAATTAAGGAAGTTTTTTTTTCCTTCGTCTACAGAAAGCACAGAAGACTGGTGAGTTTGTTTCTCATGAATGCTAAAGAGATGATAGATGAAAATGGCGAAATTCACATTTCCCACAAGACCAATGGTTTTCATATAGAATGGAAGTTAGAATCTTTGGCTTCTTCCCATAGACTCAGACTCATTGAGGCTGTGGAATTCAATCAATTTGATTATGTAGGTTATAACACCAAGTATGGATTTGGGGGTAACAAAAATTTCAATTGTTATCCTAGCAAAACCTACAAGTTTGGTCTTAAGTTAACTACTTGATAAATGGACTATGTTTTAATTGTAATGAAGTTTTTCAAATCTTGCTCATTTTTATATTTATATCTCTAACTTTTTCTCTTCTCATTCTCGTCTATAACATTCAATTAATCAGTACATCTTGTTTCTATTCATGATAGAATCTACAAATAATTTGTTTGCATGGAAAAAAAATTCATTGAACTTTTATATTAATCTTGGTTATTTTAAAATACGATGAACTAACTAATTAGAAGGTTAATGATAAAAATATGAAGAAAAAGATTTAGAACTTTCATTGCAATTAAAGTATGGCATGATTGACAAAGATTATGATTTGAATACGATTATCATATTCCTAATATACTCTCGCGTAATATAAAATTGGGAAATTTATAAAATATACACTACATTTATGGTGTGTTTGAAATTCGCATGCTGCGTTTTAGACTTTAGTTATTAGTAAGAAAAATACATTTTGCTGGAAAAATGGAAAACATTTACAAATTTGAATAATGCTCCTTTATTTACACATCGGCCTTTTTCATCAAATTTGAAATCACCAAAGTCAAAAATCAAGATTACAACTATATCTGCATGACAAAACAAGATTTTTAATTATAAAAAAAACTCGAAAAATCGGCATAACCATTGGGCAACATAATTTTATTCAAAAAAAAAAAAAGTAATAGTTGGCCCGGCTTTTAACTAATTAAGGTTGGTCGAAAATTAATTTTGCCATAAATCTCGTCCAAAAGAATATACATGCAGATAGTTTTTTTTTTATTATGCTTAAAAAAATTATAGATCTATTGAAAAAAATTTATCTACATGTATTTCTATGTTGAAATAAGATTTGTTAAAAAAGCATGCTAATTTAACGAAAACGAAATTAAACATACGTTAATATACTTATCGATTTGAAGTGATAGATATAAAAAAAAAAAATTCTTGTTCAGAGTTCAATAAATTTCTGAGAGGTTGAAACAGATGAAAAATAAGAGACTTTTTATCTGTGTTAAAATAAACAGATAAGAAAAGTTTTCTGGTTTTAAAATTTTCAGTGAGAAGTATTTGAGTTTTACTTGTTAACTAAAACGGTAGTATTGTCGTTTAAACAAAATAATATTTTTGTAATTGTATAACATATTTAATGACATCTTTGTTTTTTAACGTCTAAATGACTATTGTAGAAATATACAATTGTTGAAAATTTAAAGGTTTCACCAAGTCAATTTTAAAAGTACCCGTCCTGGAGCGACGCTTTTGGGCTGAAAAGTTTGATCGATTCCAATAAAGAATAATTCCGAGAGTACAGAATTACTCTCACGAAATTCATACAGGAATTTAAAATTTATCTCACATGAGATGGCTCCACATGATTAAAATAATGCCAAAAACCTCCCTCACCCACCTATGATGTGTGTACAGGAATTAATCCTGACTCTCCAATAAAACCTTTTCACTCGAATCTTTTTGTACTAGAAAATCTTTTTTCAACTTTGTCTGCGTCGTAAGGTCTTCGTCTGGCTTCACAAGAAGACGGGATTGATTGGACTCACCTCAGTATTTGTTATTGAACTTTTACCAGATGGTGTGTTAGTGTACTATAAAACTGGATATCATTAGGAATTTGATATTATTTTCTACAGCAGTTAAATTATATCTAGTGAAAATTAACTTGGAGTTCCTATTAGCACAAAAGAGAATTCGAGAGTGGTTGGTGAGGATTAAAATTAGATTTTTAGTAGATTGTAATAGAAGTTTTTGAAATGTGTGGTTGAAAAGTTATAGAACTCATGAAAGATGTGGTTAATATTGATTGTTTAACTTTGACTTAAATTAAAATCAGATTTTAATCCGAACCATAATTTAAGAGCTTGTTTGTTTGGGATTCTCAAATTCTACAGTAAATCAATTCTCATTTTCAACCACACATTCTTCAATAAAATAATATTTTCCATCACATCAATAATTTTTTTTTCTTTTTAACCACACATTTTCCATCATATCATTATTCAAAAATCAATTCTTCCCCCAAAAATCTCAAACAAACACCCCCTAAGAAAGTATCGATGCATTATCACTCATGCAACTTAGTTCTTTTGGATTCATTTATTTATGAACCTCAGCAAAAATATAAGAACGTGGGATTTTAGCATTTATTTCGCAGTTATGTCAAGTAATTCCAGTGGTTTGAATAGTTACCAGCATGAAGGGAGTAGATTCGTTTTAAATGCTACTTGAATTCTTCCACAACTCGTTTTGAATATTCCTTCTCAATTTCGAAGAAATTGTATGATAATACGTGCTTGTGTGACAACTTGCTGCTGGGATCATTTCTAACCATACGTTCTTATACAATTGAAATGAAAGTCATCGAGGGGGTCATGCCCTCTCTTGTTTCTTTATTTTCTATAATGTAAGTGTGCATCGGGGCAAAATTCAATCAAATTAATCACTGAAAAAGGATCCTCCACTCAGGAGCAATAATCATGGCAGAACTTGCTGTTGGTGCAGCATTGCTTTCTATTGAGATCCTCTATCCAGTTCTCAAGCAACATCTAAATCTCAAGAAAAATGTTGAAGATGAAATTCAGAGTTTCGAAGGATGGCTTAGAGCAATGAAAGCCTTCCTTGAGGATAATGAAGATCGTGCTGAATGCAGCAGGTGGCCTCACCATAAAGTGGAACAAGTTCGAGGCATTGCCTATGACATAGAGGATGTTCTTGAGGAGTATTCCCTTCATTCATCCTACATATTTCACAGTAATAAATTTACTCGGAAAGTCTTCCAAGTCAGCCATAATATCAAGCACCACTTTCCACTTCATGAGATCTCCGGAAAGATCACAAGCATCAAGAAGAAGATAAAAGATATTGGGCAACGAGATAATATATTTGATAATAGAAGACTTGCTGCATCAAGCTCTGGCACAGGGACTCGAGTCCAGGCGAGTCCTCTTCTCCTTGATGAATTGATTGGCTATGAAAAACCCAGGGAAGAGTTTATAAGCCAGTTGATAGATGGAGAAAAAAGACTAGTCAGAATAGCTGTAGTTGGTCCTGTTGGCTCCGGCAAGTCAACATTTGTAAAGAATGTGTTCGGGGAAAGAAGAATTCTCGAACAATTCGATTGCCATGCTTGGGTTCACGTGTCTCAGCACTTTGAAGTCAAGGAACTCTTTAGTGATATGCTAAAGAAATTTTGCGAATCTAGAAAGGAAATATATCGTAATCAGGAAGATGGAGATACTCTGACAAAGCTAAGAAATTACCTGGTTGCAAAGAGGTACATTGTTGTTCTAGATGACGTTTGGACAAGAGAAGACTGGGAGCGCATCAAGGATGCATTGCCAAGTGATCAGTTTTTGGGCAGCAGAATAATTCTCACCACCAGGGCCTCCAATGTGGCCTCTTCAGCCCAGTTTTTACATCGCTTAAATGGTCTAGAAGCGCAAGAGGCCTGGACCCTCTTCTGTAAGAAGGCCTTCCAAGACAGTAATGGGAAATGTCCTGCTGAGTTGGAGGATTGTTCTGTGAAAATACTGAAAAGATGTGAAGGAGTGCCCTTCTTTATCTTGGCAGTAGGCGGTGCTCTATCAAATACACCGACGTTTCCAAGGGAATGGGAGAAATTTCACAGCAGTATTGGTGCTGAAATTAACCGCAATTCTCCCCTTTCAGTTATCACCAGAACAATGTTAACTAGCTACAAGGATCTCTCATGCAATCTTAAAAGTTGTTTATTGTATTTCAGCATTTTCCCCGAGGATTACTCCGTTGGTCGTGGAAGGCTCGTGCGTTTGTGGGTAGCAGAACGATTTGCGACAGAAACACACGCGAAAACTTCGGAGGAGGTAGCAGAGGACTATCTCAATGAACTAATCCAGAGAAATTTGGTTCATGTTTCCAGCTGGGGTTTTGATGGTCAACCGAGATACTGCCGAGTTCTAAACCTCGTGCGTGCCTTTGTTGTTCACAAGTGCAGGGAAGAGAATTTTGTATCAATTTTCTCAGAAGAACATAGTATTCCAGGCCACAAACTGCGTCGCCTATCTGTTCAAAGTGCTCGCAATTATTCGTCACAGAACAGTGACTTTAGTGGGGTTCGTTCAATGTCCCGATTCAGGTGTGATGATGCTTCTCTCTCTGAAATTGAAAACAGCTGTAGATTGCTAAGAGTTCTAGACTTCCAAGGTTCACCTCTGTCCAAATTTCCCAAACTTGATCAACTCACCCTTTTAAAGTATCTTAGTCTTAGAGAGACTAAAATAGATGTCATTCCCAAGTCTATAAAGAAACTTTTACACCTTGAAACTTTGGACCTTAAGCAAACTAATGTGACCGAACTCCCAAAAAAAATCTGTCGACTACACAACCTGCGGCATCTCTTTGCTTACAAAAACAAGGTGGGGAATGATGCAGTTTTCGACTCTTTTCAAGGAGCAAAGGTATGTGAAGGAATTAAAACCTTAACTACACTGCAGAAATTGTCTCTTCTGAATGTCAGCCAAAATGGTAGGATCATACAAGAATTAAAATGTTTGACCCAATTAAGGAAGCTGGGACTTACTGGGATCAGGAGAGAATTTGGTAGACACTTGTGTGCATCTATTGAACAGATGAAAAATCTTACGACTTTGGATTTATGTACAACCAGTAAAGAAGAGTATCTTGAACTAGGTGATTTGACCGATCCTCCTCGCTTTCTTCAGCGGCTGTACTTGAAAGGACGTCTGGAGGAATTGCCAAGGTGGATCTCCTCTCTTAATAATCTGTTCAAAATTTGTCTGAGGTATTCTATGTTGCTGGGCAGTCCACTGAAAGATCTTCAAAATCTGCCTAATCTCATGGAGCTTCAGCTGGTCGGTTGTTATGTAGGTGTCCAGTTGGAATTTGAATCTTCAAGCTTTAAGAAACTGAAGAATTTGGTTGTCGAAGAACTTTCTGCGCTACACACAGTGGAAATCCAAGAAGGATCATTACCTGAACTTCAACAAATGTCTCTTCGTAAATGTCGG